GGGAGAAAGATGGAATGTGAAAAACAGAGAGACAGAATAGGAGGCATGGAGCTCAGTGCAAAAATTTCAACCCAGCAAATGACCTTGAGAGAGGTGAAAATCAAAAAAAAAAAAAAAGAAAAAAAAAAAAAACCACATCATCTAAGACACATCTGGGGCTGCCTTTGTCTGAGAGCCTGCCTGTGCTCTGTTAGTGTCAGACACAGGAACCCCCGCCACACCAGCTTAATGAGCATCGCCGGGGCGACTGGGCGGGCGGGCGGACAGCTGAGCTCTCACAGCCCGACCGGCCCGGAGGATCCGGCCCCGGGAAAAAGAGAACAGGGAGAAAGTGGGCCACTGGTGTGCAGGGGATCCCAACCTCGGCAGAGACAAAAGAACGTACTTAGAACAGAACCAGGAACGACAAATGGGTCTTAAACCGCCCCCTGGGATGCAGACCCAATTTCCATAAGACATGTTTGTTTCCGGTGGTATCGGCTGAGCGTTTTATTCCAGCGGGGTTGGGGTCGGACAGCCCACCCCCCAGCCACAGGAATCGCTTATGAGGACACAGGTGCTTCATTGGCACCCACGGCATCCCAGATTGTCCCTGTGTCCCGATTAGGCAGCAGAGTGCAACTATTCATTTGTTGATCCATTCAGGATTGTCAGAGTCCATTACGGTTCGTTCGGACGGCTGGGCCCGTCGCATCACACAAATGGATGCAGCTCTCTCCCGGCTCGTTGCCCCGCCCCCACGGCCCAGTCGTTAGGCAGGGTCAGGCTGGAGAGGGAGGGGCCGTCCGGGGGAACACGGAGCCCATACGGATAATCTGATCTGCCAAGGAGACTGGGCTGGATCGATGCAATAGGAGCCCCTGCTGAGTCACTCAGAGAGGAAGGCCAGGGACGGAAAGGGGGGGCGCAAAAGGGAACGTGATCAAGGGAGGCAGGAAGGGGCATGAGGAATAACAAAGGGGTCTGTTTTTTTATCCTAAAATATCACATTGGTAAGTTAATGGAGCAAAGCAACCACATCCTGCAGTCTGGGTGCAAAGTCCAGCTTCTCAGTTTTTGAGGTAACAGATATTATAAATAAAGCTGTATCGATGGATCCCATTTAGTTAAAAATAAATAAATAAATCCTTTTTTCATTTCTTCCGGCGCAATGTGCAGCTTCCTGCCCACTAACCTCTGTGCTTCAGTGAGTGCATTTAGCTGCACGAAGCAGCGATTTAACTGCGTGACACAGACACACCCTGCAAGGGCAGCACTGCTTCACTGTCTCTCACTCGCCGACAGACGTCCGAGGTACGAGATTATCGATGACGGGTGGGGGGGCTGGGCCGCACGTGGAGCTGACATTTCTGCCAAGTCCTGAAAAGCACGCACTAGATAAAACGTTGCGTGTAGGCATGCAGATTAACGCGGTTTCCTGCGTCGGTGCCTGAAGGTGACCCCGTGACAGCAGGGCTTAAGGAGATGCGCTGCAGCACAGGCTCTCCGAGGGGTGCATCTCACTCCCCAGAGGTGTGACCACCATACATGCTGATGCAGGCATGCCCCCCCATCGACGGGAGCGCTGAGCTGCGGCAGTGACGTTGGCATCCTAGAAAAGCCGGTGACGGGGACGGCGGAGGCGGGGTGGCAGGTGAGACCGCAGCTAAGTAACAGCCGTCGGGGAAAAAAAGACCAGACCACTGCTGTTGGACCTTTGGGATTCTTACTCACACTGGCCTGCTCTGGAAAACAGTCAGCTGACCAGATGAATAAAATCAGTCAATGATGCCGTTTAACCCCCTGAGGGGGGGGACAGTGATACTGATATAAGCAAGGCTAGCAGGTATATTACAGCTGTGTTAAGGAGGCACAGGGCAGGACACAGAGCAGATAGAAGGATAGAGGAACAGATCTGCCCCCCCCCCCAGCCCAAAGGACGGGAGCACTGCAGAGCACCCAGCCTCCCCCATGGGTTGCATGCTAATCATGGAGCTCCACGCTAAATATAGAGCAGACCTGAGCCGCAGCGAACACAGGACCTTAAATATTTCATCTCCGGAGGAGGGCGGGAGGAAAAGAGGGAGCGATGAAAAGATGGAAAATGCTACATGATCATCTGCATGCCTGGCGACATTGGGCAAGAGGTATCGATCACGGGCAGATGAGGGGTTTGGGCCCCCGGGGAAATGAAAGAAAAATAAAGCCCCCAGGTATTAGGCTGAGTCACTTACAACAGATATCTGGAGGTGAAGGGAGGAGAGAAAAAAAAAAAAAAAAAAAAAAAAAAAAAGAGAGACACCATCCACCCACCATCCATAGATAACGAGCATTTCCACATCCTCCAAAATGTACCCCCCCTCCCCAGCAAAAGCCCGCATGGAACAGAAGCCGGTACACTGTGGCGGAGTGACAGGCAGCGGTGGCGTTGCGGAGCACTGTCACCCTGTCCTTGCGTCACCCGGCCCCCTGCAGTCCCCACTGCTGCTGACAGGCCCCCGGCCCAAGCTAACATCCTCTCGCAAACGCAGCGATGACTTATTCAGCGCGCCGACGCATCCTGCATCCGGGCTGCGCTCCATCCGGCGAATACCGGAACCGCCCCGAAACCCGGGGTCACTGGATGACACACTGAGGTCGTTTTGCTGCGCTCTTACTCAGAGTGATTAAGGCGATCGATGAAGCGAAGCGCACAAGGGCCTGTTTGCATCCAGGCTGCAGCAGATTAATGTTACATGGGGGTGTGATACATGCAGCGAGAAAATCCAGAAACTATTGACGCATGACGTTCTGCAGAGCACAGGGAACGGCAGACGCTCTGAACACCATGTACGTCAAGGTGAAGGGGGGTTTTACTGAACTGAGCCAGAGAGAGTTAAACCTCACATGATTAACTACCAGACTCAGGTATTAATATGTGAGGACCTGCCTGATTCAGGGAGAAATCACCTGACAACAGGGCCACACTGCTATGGACCACGCAGCTGAACATTACGACGGCTTCTTTTTTGCAGAGTTTAAATGAGAAACAGGCTGCATGCGGAGGTAGACTGCTTTAGCAGATCTTTACAGGATGGCGCGACACGGTAAGTGCGATCTTCTCAGGAGGTGTCATCTCAACACGGAGACCCTCAAAATAGAGCCGGAGCAGCTGTGACGCCCTCAATTTCAGCTGCTGCCTGTGCAGAGACAGCGCACCCCACAGGTGGGTGCAGGGATAACACACAGCACGGTATGCGCACATGTGAAACACACACAACATGGTATGCACAGACACAAAATACACACGGCAAGGTGGGGCAGACACTGAATACACCCAGCAAGGTATGCGCAGACGTGAAATACACAAAGCAAGTTATGCGCAGACATTACATACACACGGCAAGGTGTGCGCAGACACTAAATACACATGCCAAGGTATGCGCAGACATTAAATACACACGGCAAGGAAGGTGCAGATGCGAAATACACACATCAAGGTATCCACAGACCCAAAATACACACACACACACACACACCCACACACACACAGGAAGGTACACAGACATACAGTAGGTACACACAGAATAAAACAGAGGCACTCAAACACACAGACATGAAGTGCACACATACAAATAGACACACAGACACCGGTATGAAATTCACACACAGGCACAAAGAGGAAGACAACATGTACTGATGCAGATAGACAGAGATGAACAGACACACACATAAACATACAGAACCTTAAACCCAACCCTAAACCCAACCCTAAGCCCAACCCCAAGCCCAACCCCAAGCCCAGCACTCGGCGTATACAGGAGCTGGAGTCCTGGGAGATGCGGAATCATGACAGTATCTCTAAGTATACAGACATGTGGGGGGTGGGGGGGGGACTGCTGCCAGACACCCAGCATGCAGGTGAAGGTCATCCAGGTTAACAGCTTCTACAGCAGGTTGAGTGGATTAACGAAATTTACAAAGAAACTAAAATAATTGAACCACACTAGCGCTAATAAGCCAAATAAATCAAGCAAGCGAGTTTGTTGTCTGAGTGACATGGTCTTGTCATCAGCAGCAAAAATCACTATTATTACTGTACCATTAAGCACGGCCACAGAACTTGAAGGTTTCAAAGAGCTCTGAACAATTAAAGCTTTTCTTTTGTGTGCCGGATGCTCTTTAAAGTCGACGTTAAGGATTGTTCTGGAACATGGTGGGGACCGGGGTAACTTTGGATGCAGGGAATTGAATTAGCAGAGAAGACGGTGCTTCCTGCAGCTCAGGGGTAATGACAGACCTTCAGGAGGCCAGATGTCTTAACTGTGCTCTAATGAAGCTGAACAAAGAGAATGTGACTGCACTATGGCATCTGGCAGCGTTGAAGTGCCATGAGACCAAATTTTACTTTACTTTGTACAAAGAGATACTCTGTATTAGACAAAGTTCACGTCTTTCTCTGTAAAATAGAAAAAATGAAATGATAATTTATTGATCCCAGTGGGCAAATTCTCTTTTCGCCGACTCCACCTTGCTCTCCATGACACACATGTAGGTGAGAGCAAGTTTGGCAGTGAAGGGCAGCCACCTGCAGCGACGCCCATGGAGCTGGGGGTTAAGGGCCCACAGACGTGACCATTCTGCCCAGGCCAGGCTCAAACTGGCCCATTACAGGCATAGACGCTTAGCATACTGATCCAGGATTAGACAAGTCATAACTCTCTACAAATCGGGGGTGTAAATCGGGCGTGTTCTCATTTTTAAGACACATTTGGGAGCTTCTGAAGACATCAGTCACCTTATTATGCTCCTGTCTGACTTTCCATCCCAAGAACCCCCTTTCCATCCTAGAATTCCCAGTAGTGAACATGTACCAGCATTTTACAGCGTGCTAAATATATCATGACTCAGAAGGTTGCGACGCGGGCAGCAGGTCTTAGAGGCAGCAGAAGGTCCCCGGAACACAGAGATGCTGGTCAGTGACGGGACTGGGAGTGAAGAAGCCTGCAGGCTGCCCCTCCCCATCATGGACACCCACTCACCTTCTAAAGTGGCTGAGCAGGGTGCCCACCAGCTCCCCGATGCGGCTCTCGCCAGCGGGCACCATTCCCTGCAGGCACACGATCAGGTCCCGGCTGTCCTTCGTGTGGAACACCACAAGCTGGTCCTTCCCAGGGGACACGCTCAGCCCGGTCACCTAGGAGAGGGGACAGGGCAGCATGGAGCCTGATACATCTGCTTCTCGCCGGGTGACACGACCACCAACACAAATTAGTGTGATCTCAGACAACCTATTTGTAGATAACAGGATACATTTTATTGATCCCACAGGGAAACTGTGTTACGGCTTGTAAAATCCGATTACCCGATTAGATTGTGTTTTTTTCCAACGTCTGACATGCTTAACACCTTGAGAGTGCATATTTTATATTTGGAGAAATTGAAAATGATTCCCCTGCATCACTAGGTCAAGTACTATCTGCTTAAGGTGCCCGAAGAGGGTAATGAAAGTGAAGAACCAAAACACCAGCTGCACAACTCCACTGCTGTATCTGCTGCAACAGGCCACTGTTTCCACAGAGAGCCTTGCCAACAGTCTCCCCTCAGAACAAACAACTCAGCTCTGCAGCAGCTAGAGGGATTCATTTCAACTGGCAAAAAAAAAAACAGGCTTGGTTACCATGGACAGATCAGCCACTGAAATACGTCGGGCTTCAGCAGACATTCATAGTAATATGGTACATAGTAATATGGTAGCTTCCTCATTCCTGGCTCAGGCCGACAGGCCCAGATCTACGGGGTCTCGTGCAGCAGCGAGACAGACACCCACAGGCTAAGGAGAGCAGCCAGGGGGATCAAGCCCCGGCGTGGACGAGAAACCGGCACCAAAACAAAGCGACGGAAGCCAAGGAGGCACGCAGCTCCCCGCGTTTGATCCGCCCGTCCAAAGATCCAGAGACAATCCCTGCCAGTGCATAACACTGCTGTCGTGCACCTGCTGCTAAACATGCGGCTGTCGGTCTGCAACACAGACGATGAATCTTTCAGCCAGTATTTTCCATTGTCTTGAGTTGAACAGCCATGCACAGCTTACACTTTAATGCTTTACATAATTAACTGCTAGGCTAAATAGCATTCCTGTTCCAGTATAACGTTAGTGTGATTATTGTGATATCACCCATATGAGCCAGACTCTGGGTTGAAGCAGCTATATTGACAGGGCTGCCCTCCGGAGGGAGCTAAACACGTCTGCGGTTACGCAAGTCTGCTCTACCCACCCACACCATATACACGGCACACAAGGGCTTGGGTGACCTTCACTGCAAAGCCTTTCAAGGTCTTAAGGTGGATAAACTTCATCAAAGGTCAATGAACCCAAGACATTCACTGCAAAGACCAGACAAATGGTCTTGGTCTTTAACCACAAAGGCAGATATGTCTCCTGTCTTCGGGATGCTGTAGAGCAGGTCAGAAGTTCAGAACAGTTTGGGGCGGAGGGGAATCACATGTGATACTTCCAAGGATAAAAAAAGATGTGTGAAGTGGAGGAGAGAAAAGTGGGATGGAAAGATGAACCTTGGAGAAATGATAGAAGAAAGGAAGATAATACAAAACAAAAGGAGAAAGAGAAAGACAGACGTTTCTGCGGGGAGCAGAGAGCAGACCGAAGAAGCAGATTTGTGAACACATGCCTGAATGGTACCAGACATCAGCTGATCCTCCCTCCTCCACAGTCACCATGACAACCCTGTCTCCTGGGAAGTTGGCATGACAACGGCGGAGGGAGAGAAACAGACTTGGGTAGGGAACTACATCGTTAAGGAATGGGCGGGGGGGGTGGAAGAATAACAGAGATGTTGATACAGAAAGGCATTTCTTTTAATTTTGAGGTTCTTTGTTGACAGGGAAGAATAAAAATGATAAAGAATCAAATTATTGTCTTAACAGCTGAGAACCACAGGCAGACAGATGAATCTAGTGAAGACAAGTGGCTCCACTGAGGCAGCATGGATCCCCGAGACCATCTATTTCAGGAGCACAGACGCAGCTATAGATAAAGGGGGCGGCTGATGAGGGTTTAACAGGACAATTCAGTCTTTTGATCGTCTGTCGTTTAACCCTTGGTATAGCAATCGGGACACACTAAAACCTGAATGCGGCTCTTAAACGGCAATCCTCTTTTGCATGAACAGTCTTCCTCTGGCAGAACTAGAGACAATCACAAGGCAGTGGCCACTATCTATCACTATCATTAACTGCGTTCATTCTGCTCCTCTTGCAGCCACATTGAAACCTCTCGCTCCCTCCTTCACATTCCTGCTGAGCTGTCTGTACTGAGGGTTGGTATATAAATATCGCCTCCTTTATTGCATTCCTACAATGTTTGTCCTTTCCCCATCTGTCCTCACAGCTAAATAGCTTTCACAAATACGGCATTCAATTCAACCCTCCAAGACGAGCATTAGGTACCGGCTCTGATTGCCCTATCTGCTGTTCAGCCGTATTTCATTTTCGTTCTCCCCACTCAGATTTATGCTCTGCTGAACAGTAATACATCGCCCCCATTTTTTAAAGGACCCTCGTCATGGTAACGGTGGTCAGTCAGCAACCGGGGCCCGTCAGAGCAGCTTACGCTTATGACGGGGGGGCAGCAGTGTCTATGCGGGATTATATGCCTTCACATTCCCATCCATAATGGGGAAGCCGTGCCTTTCCCAAGGTCATCTTTCCAGGTATAAGCCGGTTAATCTTGCTATAATCCCACTGAATATTCAAGGTTTCCTCCAAAATAGCACTTACAGCAAACAACAAAGCTGTGAATGCGACGTACTGTTGCCAAATCAAGTGAAAAGATTAAATGCGAAGGAGACCTTCATGCTTGAGATTAGAGGAGGAGACAGTAAGGTCCTCAGGGGACACATCAAGGCTAGTGCTCCAGGCCAGGCACACTGTCACTGGGGATTTATCAAAGCAGATGTAAGGCTCCCAGTATTTCAATAACCCTGCAGCAACATCGACGCAACTTAAGTACAGTATTTCCACTCTGGTAAGGATAATATTAGTGTTTTCATGTAAAGGAACTGCTCGATCACTATGATCACTTTTCAATTAAACCTCATTGAGCTGAAGTCACATTTCCCCAGAACTTACCATATGTCGATAGTGTACTGAAATTGAAACAGGTGCCATTTAAAGGATAATAAACAGGAATTGTTCATTGCAATCGTTAGGCAGATATCAAGATGCCAAAATTAGGCTTAGTGCTTTGGCATGCATATTTGGTATGCCATTTCATCCCCAGAGCTAATCAAAGCCGCCGTTTAGGAAGACGGAGAGACGGCTACACATACATTGTATAGCGGGATGCTCTTCATGGGCTTGTACTGCTTTAGGGGGTCCATTTTGTAAAGGTGCCGATCAGTGATCAGCACCGCCCGGTCTTCAGATTTATGGAATCGATTGATCTGCAACATACAAGCCGTCGATGACATCACCAGCAAAGGCTCCAGTTTACAATTTTAAAAGTCAGGCTGAGAAGCATTCAAGGGGTCTAGATAAAATGGAATTCAATAATAATCTGAGGTCACGTGCCACGCATTTTAATGCAGTGATACCAACGAACACAAATATTCCATACATTTCAATACAAATATCTAGGTCCATGATTTCCCCGTCACTGGTGCTGGTTTATCTAATACAGGGACCTTTCCTGTGGCGTAAACAACATATAAGGGTCAGGACTGAGGCGACTGAGTTGCTGTTACTGCCGGACAGTGATGTCGTACCTTTCGCACGTTGGAAGAGAACAGAACCCTCATGAACTTGTCTTTGCGCTGCAGGTCGCTTGACACCAAAGTGAAGGACGATGCGGTTTCGGGGCTATCTCGCTTCTGAAGGCACAGAGGGGACAAAAACCCAACGCAGTGCATGAGTGTACCACCATCTTCCTAAAACACACCCAAAACACCACCTGTTTACACACTGGATTAAACACCCCCCCCCCACCCCCATTTCCTCTCACTCACCAGGTAATTGCCTTCCCAAGCTCTCTGTATGCCCAGGTCAGTCCTCTGGCCCTTCAGAGACTCCAGGGTGGCTACCTTGGCCCTCACCTGCAGCATCTCCTCGGGGGACAGGCTCTTAATGAGGGTCCAGGCCCACCACCTAAGCGCAATTAACACAGAGGGGACTGCTACTGACAGCACGCCTCTCCAAAGGGCAGAAACCCCAAAACCTCCATTCATAAAGCAGGACCTTTGATTACTGTCTGAAACACACAATGGTTTTTACACAATGGTTTTTACTGGTGTTACGCAAATGTGTATTTACTGCACGGTGCTGCACTTGTGCTCTCCATGCATTTGCAGCCTCTGTCCGTTCTTGTATGTCGTACCGTGCTCCCGGGGGCTATTTCGGCCCACTGCATATGTACATATCGACAGGACGATGGTCAAGATTAAGGGTAAACAAGAATGGCAATCCAATGACTACAACACTGACATAGTGTGACAGTATCACAGTGCCATTACAGGAATTCAACAAGGAGGCGGTAAATTGTATTATTTTTCCTCTCTTAATGGGTAATGTTTATACAGTGCTCACAGAGTGTCTTGGGATACTTGCTTAATTCAGTAAAAATATTGCAAATTTATTGGTCTTGCAACAATTACTTTATTCATTCATTTACAAAAATATACATTAGAAACAAGGTGTTTTCAGTAAAACATTCATTTAAAGCAGCAATAAACCCAAATTATAGTTCCAAAACAGCCGTTATGAGCATCCCCGCACTTTCTGTGAGCACTATATGCCTCAATATTTATATTCTATTTATTAGTTTCATTTGCACTACGACTTAAAATAACGATATTTTGTCTCAGTGAATGACCCATGTAGCATAGAGCTGAAGATAACAAAAGATTCTTTGACTTGACTATAAAGAGAAAAAAACATCCCTGCAGTAGTTTCATGCGTCTGCGGTTCAGCTGCGGCATTTGGGCCTTACCTACTGTAGATGCTCCTCAGCGCCTCCTCAAACTTGCGCAGGACTTTGGGAGGCATGGGCCACTTGACGTGCTTGCCGTAGTCCTTCATGGCACGGACGTTTTTGAAACGCCGGTTGACCTCGCGTATGTAGGACTTGACCTTGTAGCGGCGGTAAGCGCGCACGATGATGAGCGCGGCTCGCATGCGCCGGTAACGCATCCGTGCCACTGTTCCACGCCACACCTACAGAAGCCACAGAACGTGCGATCCTTCATTGGTCTCTCAAAAAAGATTGCAGATACACACAGGGATACAACGGACACTGCACACAAATACACCGCTGTTCAGTTTCATACAAATGGCGCAGGCCAAAGTAGCTGTTAGCCTTTGCTAAAATATGGGCTAAGTACCTGAAATCCAAGAAGTAGTGGACAATTGCCTTGCTACCTGCATGGATGAGGCCCTTCTCTAAATACACCAACTTATACAGATAAGCTAGAGAACCAGTGCAGCTGTGTAGGGTCTGCCTGCACAAGGGGGGCCAAACTAAGTCATAAAAATAAAGACAGACAGACTTATAAACGCAATTTATAAATAAGAATAATTACATAAAATGTTTAAAAACCCATATACCTCAAATTAAAATATTTATGTGCAGGCAGAAGGGGGGAGGGGGGGGGAACATTATCTGCCTTGTATTCTGTAACGACTTCATCTGGTCCCGTATGGAAGTCATCAAAGACACGTGTATGAAGCTAGATTATATTTACTGTATCATGATGAATTACAAACGTCTGTAATGAAGCTTCCCATAATAAGTGAAGCAAGCCTACAAAATCAAAGACAGACTTCGGAATAAACTGTAGCCATAATAAGCCAGAGCTGCTATAGATCTCATGTCCCGTTTTACTGGCATTCACGCAAAAAAACACATGCTAAGATCAGACATATCTACATTTCACTCTTAGGGAGCGTGCAACAAAGACGCCACATGTTTCATGGAGGACAACATCACGAAGCTGCTTCTGAAGTCCGCTCAAGCAGAGAGGGTCTGCGGAGATCAATATGAGGATCGATGGGATCGGGGTGAGCTGCCCCACGTGCCTTTACTGTCCAACCCCTGGCTCCCTTTGCTAGGATCATTACGCTCTACCCTCTGTGAATAATGGAGGAGGAGTCGAAGCGGACAGAGGCGGCTTCCAGCCAGCTTCATGCTTCTGAGGAGTTTGCGGCCTCACAACTAATATCCAGCCGGACTACTACACCGCTGAGAACAAAAACATCAGCTACAACCACCCCCAAAGAAAGGGATGGATCTAGGGCAGCATGGGGGCAATTTGGGCTGTCACACAGGAAAGGGATATTTCACTGTAGCCGGAGGGGGTGGGCCTGGTAACTTCAGTGCAGGATTGACTACAACATCTGAGGACAATGACATGAATGCGCCTACCTTATATGCACCCAGGAGTAATGTCAGGTATGCACCCGGGAGTAATGTCAGGTATGCACCCAGGAACTTACTCTTGGGTCAGGTATGTTGAACCTTGCTCTGCTTCAGCAACATGAGGCTTAATGCATGAACGTGAAGCTGTTCATTCCATCCAGATTAAGTACTCATTAATGCGGTACTGATGCCGTGGATTCACACCTACGTCCATGCGATTGCGTAGTTAGCAGGTACTCCGTTTTCCTCACGCAGCTGGTGCCTCTAAACTGGCCATGGTGTGGAACTGTGCCTACGTGTATACACCCTGCGAGCGGAGACGGGCTCTAGGGCCACTGCAACCCTGTACCCTACAAGCAGGTACGGAAAATGGAGGCACAGTATTTATTCAGTATCAGCTAAAGAGATCAAGTATACCATACTCTGACTGCCCGTAAAAAAAGAGGAGGATGGGTGAGGGTCAGGGAGTACCATTCTACAGAATCTGTCTAATAACAGGAGCAATATATGAATGCAGACAGGGCATCTATCAGAATGGCTTGGGCAGCAGTGACAGATCTCCATCTCATGCCATTGCATGGTTTAATGAAGGCTGTTGTGCTTATTATCGGACGGGAGGAGGAGAGGTACAACACCCCTGAGACCCAATATAACAAAGGGCACCGCCCCCCCCCCCTTTCAATCGCAGCACCAAAATTGCTTCTAGAACACTCCGGCACAGTGCGGCCTTTCGGCCCATCTATCCAGTGAACATTTACAAGCTCATGAAAGGCAAATTGAGATCACACGCAACTTCCGTCTTTCAGTGACACGAAACCGAGCAAGTGGTGAAAAAATATTGCAAATGAAGGAGGGAAAAAAAACGCAGGTCACATTTCTAAATGAAAAGGGTGCAATCGGCGTTCCCTGATTATGCTTTTTGCAGAATCATAACTGTTTATTATTCCACAATGATGTCTGATTCAAGCTTTGACACATTAATGGATCGGAGAGCAGCTTAATTTCTCTGGCAGCAGTCAAACACACAAACCGCACGTGCACCGTCCTGGAAGCTAGACGCTTGAATGCCGTGAACCAGGTGACGCTGTGTTCCCTATGCTGCCTGGGCTTAATGAGCGCGCACGCGCACTAACAACAGGGCCGACGGAGGCCTTAATAAACTGGCCGCCCATTAGGATAAATATGGCACAATTAGGCTCTGGAGAATTCCGGCTCGCTTTTCTCAGCGGCGCTCGTTGTTAAATGCAGCTACCAGAAGTAATTGGCCCGTGCTCATGGATCGATGACTTTCTCTCAAAAAGAGAAAATGTCCCAATTAATTAGTGGTTCAAAACCCCGCCACAAATACACCCAGAAGAACACTTATGAGCCAACTTATGTGCTGAATGGGATTTTATCTTATTTGCATATTTTGATATTTTTAATTAACATTGGACTTCATTTTATAAAATTGCGATTGAATCGTCTTGAATATGACTAAGGAAATGGCATTCTCCTAAATGGTCAGTTCTATTGTGGTTCCTTCCCACCGGATCAGTAACTGTGAAGAACGTGATACAAGGCAGATTAGCAGATAAGGAGACTAACCAGAGCCTTATCAGTAAATTGGGCTGGCTGCTCTGGATGGCGCGGGCTGCCGGTCCGACACCAGCGGCCTCTGGGATGCTGTGCTGCCTTTTATTTATCCCCTCTGTGCAGCCATTTGTCAGTAATTAGGCAAATAACGGCCCGCGCTCGGGCCCACATCCATCTCCTTCGGGACAGCTGTCCCCACAGCCTGTTCAGCCCTTACTGTCCCCCCCCCCCCCGCCCCCGCCCCCTTCGCCATGTCTTTCTTAAATTGAAAATCATATCGGGCTCCCTCAGAATACAGGGACATAATGGGAGCCCAGGTGTCGAGCTCATTAGTGCAGTTGCTTTGAATGAGGACTCGACCAATCTAACGTTACCTAATCTAATCACGTGACATGAGCCATTAAACCTCATAATGAGTGTTACTTCAAAGGGTCTATTGTTGCATCAGACAAATTTTATCTGCATAAATCCTTATCTATATAAGTAAGAGGCACAATAATATGCATAATAAATTAGATGCATTAAAAATATCATATATAATCAAAATTCTGAAATCAAAAGGAAAAAAAAACAGAAAACAGTGTGTAAAAAAACTAATTTCTTTTACATTCTACATACCCACGTACCCAGTGTACATACCCACATGATAGGCACCTCATCCAGGGCGTACCCAGTGTACATACCCACATGATAGGCACCTCATCCAGGGC